AAATTCCCCTAACTCTTGCAGAACTGGGCCAGGGTGATTTACCCTAACTCTTTTTTTCGTTACACAGCCTGCAAGAAAGACTGTACACTTACCCGCCATTACATCTCAGGCGAGGAGGGCCGGGTGTGAGGACCTTGACCTGTCGGGCAATCCATAGGGTCCCACCCTTACATTTCTAGTCACCTCCGGGGGCTCCCAAGAGATTTTCGTCGTTTTGCCTGGGGCGCCCTTATTTTGTAAGGGCGGACCTTAACAGCCCAGAATGTGAAAACAGGCTTGGAGTTCGATTTTGTTGTCATTAGGGAGTGGTGGAACGATGATTTTGTAAGGATCCTTACATTTGTAGTGGTGTCAAACGAGGCCCTTACTCTTGCTTTCGCATTGATTTTTTTTTCATTTTTATTTTTCCCCTTCCTTTTTTCCTTTCTTGATCCATTGTTACAGTAGTATTTTAGTGAAATTTAGTCATCCACCTCTCCGTGTTTGTATAAATTGTACTTTACTATTGATTTCGGCTTCTTTTGAGGTCCCCAGAATGGCAGGAGCCAGAACCGCGCGGTTCTGATTCGTTTAAAGTTAAAAAAAAAAAAAAAAAAAAAAAAAAAAAAAAAAATCAGCTTCTTTTGAGGTTTGAACTCGGGTCCGTATTTCAACAGTTCAGGGGTATAATACCAACTGAGGTACGACAGTTGGTTTTTCAAACTCCCTTTCTTGCAAAAAATAGAGGTAAGTACGCTCATTTCACTTTTGAGTATCCTTTTTTTGTTTTTTCCAAGTATCTAACAAGTAAAAAAAAAACACGCACGGACAAAGAAACCAGGCACCGAGTTTGAAAGCAATGAAAGTACCAAAGGCCGTGGTGTCAGGCCAGGCGTCACATTTACAGGGGTCGGTCCAATGGATAGTTTTCTACCGAAATTGCTCTTTCGAAGTGGGCAACCTATTTTCTTAAAGTTTGCCAGCACATGTTTTTTTGACTTTGTGAACTGAAAACCTGCCTCGTCCGTGTTTCGGGAAAAAAAAAAAAAAAAAAAAAAAAAAAAACATTCTGCTTTTTGAGGCAGTCTTTCTGAACTC